ACAGAATTTGGCCAGATACAATTATTGGTACTCTATAAGACTTGGGTAAAGATAGGCTACCAAATACTTCAACTTCACATTAAACTGGGGAGATATTTTTGAGCCATTTTGGGAGAGGAAAAAAAAAAAAAAAAAGTGTGTGTGACCTCTTGTATCCCAAATTGTTCCAATTTCTTTTAAAGAAAATTTTTTCTTTGTTATTATTTAATCTACATCATTCATTGCTTCTTCAGTTATCTTTTTCTTCTTCAATGTGCTGTGTCACTTCAGGACCTTGGCAATCATGGCTCTCCACAACTTCCTATCCTTTGGTTTGTCTTTTTGCTATTCCTCCTACTCTCTGTTCTACCAACCATTTACATAAGCACATTAGGTAGGTTATTCACTGCTTTTCTGTGCCTCTTGCTTTCAATGTTCTGTGCATATCAAATTCTCCAAGCCATCTTTCTTAAAAATTTCAGCTGTTGCTTTCTGATTCTAAGTATCCTTTTTGATTCCATTTTCCTTAAGACTTCTTCATTACTCACATTACAAATCCCTCGATCCTTAAAAAGTATATTTTATAAATTGTATAAGAAATCTGGCTTGTAAAATTTACAAGGTTTGTTGTTACTCAGACAACAGATACAAAGCCTTTGAAGTTGATCAAACAATTTGGCAGGAACACTAGCTGACTTTAGAGGTGAGAAAGAAAAACGGCTTTTGGGGGTCTGGTACATGAATCTTTAGCAAATTAGAAATTAAAAAGAAACTTTGCTATTTTAAAATCATCAATAATAAAAAAAGTCACTTATTGTCTTACTGTAAAAATCAATATGTTCTCATCTGCTTTGTGTCTGAAAAAGTAGTTTTTTGTTTCATATGTTACAAGAGGCAAGCTGCTAAATTAGGTAAACTAAATCAAAAACTATGGTTTTGCACTCATATTTGTGCTGTTCATAAACTACTACAAAATGTATTCACTAGTATGAGAAAGCAGAGTATTGAATAACCACAACCTTTACTTGTGAAATTAATCACTGTGAAGACAAAAGAATAAAAAAAATCATGGCATCTTATATATGCTAAGAATTTAAAAACTGATTCTGCTTCATTACAGCAATGAAACAAACATAATAATAAAAATAAGCGTGAAAAACAAAGGAAAGAATTTGCCATGAGACTTAAACACATAAACCTAACAGTGTCCAACAATGTATATAAAAATGGTCTAAGCTTTTAATTTTGGTAAAATTGCCTGTGTAATATAGAAACTACACATTAAATAAAAACTAACTCAGTAGATAAGAAAAGCAATGATTCAGCTGATCCTCATAATTGATGCATATTATGTCGTGTAAACTGACCAAAGAAATCCTGCAAGGAATTATCAATAATCAATTCTATAGAGATTATAATAGAGGTGTGAATTATATGAATCAAGCGGGAAAATCGCCAAAATAAAATGCTTCACGGGAACTTGCTTCTAAATACAAAGGAGGAGGAACAGAATAAAATGATTATGATAATAATAATAATAATATCATCACCACCAAAATACTTTCATTAACATGACCCATTGGTTGTTAATTATAAAAAAAATAAAACAATGAAAGCTGAAGAGGCCGAGTGTAATGTACAACCACAGTTACAGGACCATGTGTTAAGTATTTTGACTTTGTCTGTTTAGTTGGTATTTTGATTACATAGCAACAGAGTAATGGTGTAAAAGATGCATTCAGATGTTTTTTTAATAATCTTAATCTAGCAGAAACCCACAGTAGTTGGGTAGGCAGTAAGGATTGAAATCATTAGAAAATCATACAAGTTAAACATTAACAAATATTTGAGACAAACATCAAATATTTTATATAAGTAAGATTTTGGTTAAGAATAAAAAAAGGTATAGAGATCTTTGCTAATTTTCTTTTGCTACAGTCCATTCATTTAATTTATAAATCTAATGAAACAATTCCAAGAGTTTTATTTACACTGCTGTTGTTCTTATGCTTTGTTAATTTGAATAAGTTTTCTATAACTGAAGTATTTGTTCTGCTTGTAAATGGTTCATATGGAATTAGAAATGAAATTGGTCTATGCAGAAACTCTGTTTCTTAGTTTGATTCATTTTCTATGGCTTATCGACCCCTTGAAAGTTATTTAAAGTCAGAAAATATTTTTAGATTGTAAGAATTTTTTGGTGGGGGTAATAATAACAGTTCAGTGATACAAGTCTTACTAATTAACCCATAGGTGGATTCATACTATTCCCATGGGTATTAGCTCGGAAATGAATATAACAAAACCAACTGGAATTGGAACTCGGCTGTCCAATTATCAATTCCATGCCATTATCCATTACACCACCCTTACATCCAAGTTTACCACACCTTGGATTTCCAAGCGGTCACTCATCTACATACTGACCAGGCTCAACATTGCTTAACTTCAGTGATCGTAAAAGACTGATGTTTCAAGCTCTAAGTAAATGCAGACATACACACACAATGAAATGTATGCACTATTTGTTTATTACTAGCATTTATGTTTGTAACCTGAACTACTTTCATAAAAAAATAAACTTTAGAAAACAATTTCATGTTTATACTTATATTATTTTGAAGTGTTCAACATGTTAAGAAAATGTGCATTACAAAGTCATAAGCTATGCATCTATTTTTGTAATTTGAAGAGAATTATTACACAATTGCAAGACATAAACAAATTGAGGTTTATTATGAAAGTATTCAATTAACTTTAGGATAACAATGATGGTAGCTATTAACAAAGTATACCCTTTTATAACATCCTTGATTTGTCAGTGAAAGAGGGGAGATTTTATGCATGACATTTGTTAGAAAAAATATCTAGACTTTCCCCCATTTATAAAGACACAAAATATATTAAATGGCTTATATTTGTACTTAGCAGACAAAATGTAATCAAATTAACATACATTATATATATTTTTACTTATTTATTACACACTCTCTTACATAATTCAACATTAAATAAAGTCATTCTCTTTCAACTGGATTAGTTCATTAGCTTATGTAAAAAACAAATGATTTTATAGAATCAAAGTATAAAAATAACAGGCAAGCAAAATAGTCATGGTCCTCAACAAATAAAATGTATATTTCAGTAGAATTCAAATAGTGCCTCTGTTCGTGTTCATTCTACAATTTTATAAAATGATGTAAGCAAAAGTAAAATAAAAATCAGCAATTCATCTATTTCTATATACTGGACTCTTTTGATAATATAATAGAAAGCCATGCTTATATCAGAAATATTGCATTAATGGAACTTTTAAATTGCAATTGGCTATGGAGATAAATAAAATTTTAAAGTAAGGTATGTATGCATTAAAAATGAGTTTCATATATTTTTCATTTATCACAAGGGTATGGGCAGAAGATCAATTGTTATCATTACTTAAGATTCCAAAAGAATTGAACATAAAACAAATGAAGAGCGAAATAAAATTTGATATAAAGTACAATGCAAAATGACTGTCATCATTTTTTGACGACTTGGATAAACTTGTACTATTGACTCACTTTTAATGTACCTGGATTGTTGTACTAAAAAAATCTCTTATCTCAGGTTTTTGTTATCAAAGTTACAACATATAAACATTGGTAAATAAGAAAGAAGACAGGAAATACAAGAGAGAAACAAGAGATTTATCCATACATATCAAGAATGTAACATACATGAAAGAGAAAGCCACTGATATGAGACGTATAAGAATCAGGGTATATGGGGAGAGACAGAAATAATGTGTACAATCTTTTATATAGAGATTTCCACCTACTCTCTGATGCCATTCAAATGTTGAGCAAACTAGAGGCACAAAACTGCTTTCTCAAAAAGAAAAAAAAAAAATTGATTAAAAATGAAGTTATTTCCTTAAGTGATTTTGAGAGATGTGTGAAATTTTTTGCAAGAGACAGGAAATGCCAGTTAACAAGTGTGACCAATCTGTTCCAATTCCTCAAACTTTTCAGTGGCAATTCATATTTGCAATAAAAAACTTTGGAAATATTGGTTTACTGTTAGCATTTAAAAGGAAAATATTAAATTAAAAAAATAATCCTTGTAACATTAAGTTACAAATGTGACAGCAACTCGAAACGGAGTTCACTCTTTTCATTTGTGTCATTTATCAACATATCTGTAAAAATGAAAACTGGACTGTTGTAAATTAGCTGAACACAACCATGCTCCAAATAGAAGTAACTTATTTTTTGTCTTTTCTAATATTAATATTTTAATAAAGAAAATAAACCCAAAGCAAGAGGGAAATGAAATAATCATTTTAGCAGCAGTTACCAATTACTGCTACTACAGGTAAGATGAAAATAAGGTCAAGAGTAAAATATTTATACACAGGGTATGACTATTAACTGCTGAAAGTAAAAGCACATGATAGGTTAGGGTTGGAGTGTTTTCAACTGGATTTTTCTTTTCCTTTTTCATTGGTTGAATTTATAAGTTGAAAACTTGCTAAGACTTTGATTGCACAAACTTAGTGAAATTTACTTTCTGAAATGGAATCCTGATTAGATGATGTAGTTCAGATCTGAGAATTAAACTAAGATTACAACTAAAAATCTATGAAAAAATATTATTGCCATCATACCCACTCCTCATCCTATTAAAAAACAAATTACTTTTTGCCCTGCTATAAGATTGTGTCATATTTGCCTAGAGTTGCCAAAGAGGAATGAAAATTTACAAAATTACTAACCAAATAAATTTATACAAGTTTTATTTGTTGTCAATTCAGGCACCTTTTTTTATAATGTAGATGTTATTATACTAACATAACTTCTGCACATTATATATATATATAATCTGCCATCTGCTCTCTTCATCAGGTGTTATATTTCATCTAACAGAGTTGTCCAGAAGTAATGAATCATTTTCAAATTAAACAGACACATTTCATTCGAGTTAACAGTTATAAAGACAAGAAAAAGTCAAGGAGAAATTTGTGAAAAATCAAATCTTGCTCAATTCATGTTGAGTCTGGGAGTTTTGTCAAATCGGGAAACAAAATCATCATCATCATCATCTTTCTTATTAGGCGTGCAGGCATGTGTATCTTCTAATATCCAGCATGGACCAGACAGCAAAAACACTGTTAGAAAAGCAAGATGAATACAAAATGTTTTTTTTATACATTTACATAGATTGGTGTATAGACTGAAAGAATGCGAACACAGGTAGATAAACATAAAAAGAAACACCTTGCTAATTAGATAATTTTACAAGATTATGAAAAAGGAAAATGATTGCTAATCATATTTTATTAACAAGTTTGAGGATAATGTCAAAATATCCCAGGACTCCTCTTTGACCAAATAATGATCACCATCTACATGATTTTTTTGGAATTACATTCATTCTTTATATTAACTTCTACAATTTCCCTCGTAGTAAATAATCTAGCATTTTAACTTGTTCAGACTCATACATTCATATGGCAGTTTTTCAATATTTTGAAAGACTATCCTCAGTATTATGTTGCATTGTTTAACATATTTTAAGAAAAAAAAGGCACTAAGAAATTTAATATGCAAATTCATCTATTACAAAAAAAATCTTAAGACCCACCCCCACAAAAAGGTTTGCTGTAAAAACTCATTATATAAAGACAAATATAATTTATAAACATTTAACACCTTAGAAATTGAAAATCAGAGTACTATCCATAAAAAGTGAAAAGTTAAAAAAAAAAAAAAAAAAAAGTAAAAAGTGATTTTTGTTTTGAACTGAAAATGTTTATCCCTGGACAGATCTGATTTTTAAAACAATGTACACCCAAACTAAAAACAGTACAGTATGAAAGAAAACCCTTGTTTGTTCGTTTCAATGTAATAAATAAAATAATATGCAGTGTTTTCTTGCACATTTCTAATTTTTCTTTTTTTACAATTGGTTAATAAAAAAATTCTGTACAAGCCTTTGCAATACGAAAAATAAACTCAAGTCCATAAAAGATGAGAATATTTTGTCAAGTAGAGTTCTTCAAATATTTAACAAAGAAAGACACTTAAAAAAAACTGATCTTAGAAAACTGGATATTCAAATTAAGCACTCAAAGAAAAAGAACAGAAAAATTTAAAAAAAAGAAAAAAGATTTTTCTAACAGGTAAATAACTGAAATTGATAATCTAAGTTCTTTACCAAACACAATCTCGAAATAAATATCAACTTTGACTGGAGATAACTTTCCAGCAAATTCATGACACTCAACAGCTGTCTTCAAAATACAGGGTGGTCCGAAAGTCTTGTCAAAAAATTTTTTTTTTTTTTCCATTTCAGATGGCTGACACAAGCCCCTACACTTTGGAAGGGGTGACAAGACTTTCGGACTACCCTGTAAAATAAAAATCCAATGCTTCACTTATTCCTGTTTTGCTAAAATTCAAATAACTTAAAATAAAAATAAAAACTCAAAATGTCTGCCATAAAAATTGATGATTCTTAAATCTTAATCTTATGACAAGCATTAGACACCCACAAAAAAATGAGATAACTGTTTCACTTCACTTCATTTTTTTTGTGTAAAAAATATACTAATTTAACAACTAATACTTTTATTGAATTTAAAATATTCTCAAAGAGAAAACAGATTTTTAATTGTATCTTTTCAAAATCCCAATGAAATTGAAAACTAACATTATAAAACTAAAAAAGAAAAACCCATACCAAAAAGCCCAAGATTTTGACTGGATAAAGTTTATATCATTTTTATTTTACTATTTGAAAATTAATTCTCTCTAATCTTTTTTATCTAGCAAAAAGTTGCTAAGAAAAAAAAAAAAAAATTACCAAAACTTTTTTAGTCTTGGCAAACTGAAGTAACTTCTTGTCTAATGAAAGTAACTTAAAAAAAATGTTTACTTAATCAAGATTCACTAATAATTGATAAACAAGAACATGTGGCTGATTTCTTATTCACATTCACTTCAACTCTAAAACATTATCTTGTCAACTACAATATCAGTTTTAAGTACAGCTACCTATTATGAAACGAAAAATGAAATGTTGATTATCATAAAAAATTGGATTACAGAAGTTTTACCTCGCTATTTAAAAACAAAAAACAAAAGGTGAATCAAATGAAAACAAAGTTCTTTTTTTTTGGAGGCGAGTTATCGAATACATCATTTACATTTCAGAAATTAAACTAATCCAAAAATTCATAACAAAATAGACACCTTACTACTGTCCTACATAAAATCAAGAAGTTATTCAATATCAAACTCAACAAAACCTTACCGAAAAAAAAAAAAAATTTAAAACATCAGACTGACTGAAAAATTTGTGTTATTTAGTTTACCGCGTAAACTGTGTAGCACCCAGTTATAAAAAAAAAATAAAAAAAGGGTTCTTCTTACGGGTCAATTGGCCTTTTAAATTTAAATACCTTACAAAAAGAAAAACAAAAAAATTTGTGTCTGCTAAAAAAAGTTAATTCAATATTAATTAATCAAATGATACTTTGTAAATTGCAACTCAACAAATTTGATTTTATTAGCAATTTTCTTTATAGTGAAATTAATTAATCTTAGGAAGTGTTTGGTATTTTTACAGAAGAAACTGAAATTCTATTTTTTAAATTTAACTTCTAAAGTAGGAAAATGCCCTTACAAATTAAAAGTCGTATGTTTAAAAAAATGTTGATTTAAAAACTGAAACACGAATCGCTTTTTTTTTTTTTAATGATCAAAACTTAAAAGTAAATCGATGAGTCAACCAATCATTTTAAATGTTTAAAGTTATCAGATAAAAGAGGCTTTAAAAAGCTGATTATGAAGTTGCTATCCAAATTAATAAAGTTTTATTTCTAGTCTACGAGGTGTTCCGAAAGTCTTGTCACCCCAACATTTCTATTTCACATGGCTGACACGAGCTCCTCTACAGTTTGGAAAGAATGACAGGACTTTCGGGCCACACTAGCCGATATATTTTTTTAGTAGCTTAGTGAGAGTATTTGGCTTTAAGTAGGATGTTTCGAAAACAAAAAAAAAATCGGTGGATGAAAACGATTGAAAAAAATACCTTAATAAATATCCCTCTATTCTCATTTAAATCATTTGTATTGTAGCACAAATCAGTCTATTATTGGTAAAAAAAAAAAAAAAACGAGACGAAGTAAGTCTTTAAGAAAACTGCTATATTCAGCAGTTATACAAACCTTCAGGAAACTGCACACCCGCTTTCTAGATTATTACATATTTTTTAATCTTTATTCTTTACAAATCTGCAAAAAACATGCTTCAATAAAAAAAAAAAAAAGCATTTTATGTTTTTGACTTTTTAAAAATCTTCTGAGAATATCATAAATCCTCATGGCCAAATGATAAATAAAAAAAAAACAGACTAAACATAAATGAGAAAAATCTCTAATAATATGCGGAAATTCCTTTAAAAAAAAAAAAAAAAAAAGAATGGAAAAAAAAAACAAAAAAAAACTTGTCATGATCGTCCATTACGAAAAAAGAAAGTTTTTTTTTTTTTTAATAACTTAAAACAAGATAAAACCATAGATGGTCTCAAAAGAATTAGTTTTTCATTGCGGTGTATTTGAATATTAAATACAATAAGTAGTAGTGAAACAAACTAAAGGTGATTAAGTACCTAATAAGAAAATAGGAGAGTTTCCCCGCTAAAGACGACCGACCATGATTTGTGGCCAGTAGCAGCAGCAGCCGGCATGATGAGGAGGGAGCCACCATTACAGACAACGAGTATAACAAGACTCGTTAGTTTATTAAGTACTCTATGCACACTATTAAATCTAACTAATGACTAGCTTTTCAAGTTCCAGATATGCATCTCAATTATTGAAAATATGCAGTTTTTTTTTTCTTGCACTGTATTCTCTACAATTTATAAGTATAAAATAAACATTAAATTAAAATCGCCTAAAAAGAAAAATTTCTCACGCTAAAAATACTTGATTTCTCTACACGCCACATTGAATAGGGACGGTTTTTCTCCCTTTTCACAAAATGTAATGACTACGATTTAGATCGGGTTTCGAGTTGTACGAGGATAAAGAAAAGAAAATGTATACTACACGTGGACTGGACTAATCAAGCAAATAAAAATTTCATTTATTCATGCAAGACACTGGAAAATCTTCAACTAAAACTGCACATTAATACCACATAGCAATTGAATTATTTTTTATTTTTTTACAAATTGTAAAATAAGAACCTACTTTTTTTGAAACTAAAAAAAAAAAAAAGGGTTACTTTTCTTTTTGCATGAAAAAATAGATTTTGGCATAAATAACTAACTTGATCAATTATCGTGCACTATAAAATATCCATGTTTTTTTTAATATTATTCAACATCAAATTTTAAAAAAACGATATGCATTTTTTAAAACAACTGGAAGTAACAAACTAAAATTGAAATCATTTATTTAATTTGTTCATATTCAAATTACAAGCATTAAAAAATAACTAATTAATATCTTACAATTTAAATTTATATTCTCCAAAGTTTTAAAAAGCCGTAAAATTGATTGTTTAATTTAAATAACTGAATGCAAAAAAAAAAGTCAAAATCACCCCAAGTCTTCTTTACTTGGCCTCATATTCGAATCGCTTAACATCTTAGTAAGATCTTCTTACCAACACAATGAATTTGTGTAGTAAAAAGTCAAAACATTAAATATCTGGTCATGATTTTTTTATCCTCTTATTAAAAAATTAAGTAAGGTTACAATAATTTTCAATGGAAAAATTACACAGTATTTTTAATTTACAAATAGTTATCGTCCATTCACCTAGAATTGTCAATAAAAAAAACTAAAGTTTCTACAAGTGTAAAAAAATTAATTAAAAGTTAAAACTAAAATATGCATTTCACTGAATATCAGATCAAGTTCTTTTTGCTCATGAAAATCTTGTAAAAAAAAAAAAAAAAATTAATCTTTGCAGAAAAATATCCTTTTAAGTCGAAGCTAAAATTAAAATAAAAGAAAATATCATCAAAATTAAATTACAACATATTTGGGGGGGGATGTTATTGATTAGCTTTAGTGTGAAATTGTTGTACCTTAAACACGATTTAAATTAAATCAGATTTAAAATCTAAAATAAAACGAAAACATTCCTTCAAAATCTGGCCATAAACAAATTGACCTCTAGGTTAGCAGAGATTAAATTGCAAACCTAATTCAAATTTTAGGACGTGTTTAAAAATTGTATGCACATTAGAATTTGTAAAAAATAAAATAAATTATAAGTATAAGTGGTATTTTTTAATTTAATATGAAACAACAAAAATATGTCAATATGTGAACTAACAGCCACATGGCAAGAGATCATTGGTAGAGGATGTATGTCTCAGTAGTTGTCTCCAGCTTAATTCAATAATGACGGTCTTTGCTTTCACATGAAAACATTATCAAGCAGTTTGTCATAAGAAGAATCTGTATCTAAGAAAAAAAATATCTGTCAACAGACATCATCTACTTGCAGAATTTTTATTATAGATTTTTTAATAACTGGCTCTAGTTCTGATGTTCATTCAATCATTGCATTGTGTAAACTAGTTCTGTACTCGTAAAATCTACAAATTCTCCTCCTTACAATGTTCATTTTTAATTAATGTAAGGTAAATAATATCAACTATTTTTAACATGAATTGTTAAAAAATTGTTGGTATTATTTACCTTACAATGGGTTTGATAATCAACAACAAACCCATTGTGTAAAAAAAAGCCAGCGATAATGTGAAATTTTATTTCACGAGAAAAATGCAAATGGATGTTACTTTCATGTTTATATAAAGCAAACAAAATCCTTGAATAAAAATGAGTACTATGCATTTAACTAGAAAAATATAGTTGATAAATAAATACATATCCAGTTGCCAATTATTTCAATAGATTGAAAGCTATTTAAGCTGCCACTTAATGGGGGATCAATTTACATGACAAATTCTATTATCAATTGATCCCTCTTCAACACATACATGTAGAAATGGCTGCAAATTGCTTACTTTAAAAAGGTTAAGTCCTTTGTGAAGAAAGAAAAAAGAGAGAGAAAGAGCAACTTTACCTATCGTAAATGGGTCAGTTTAACGACTAAATTTCAGGAAAAAAATTTAAAACCCAGCAATTTTATATTCCATATTAAACTAAAGCAAATAAAAACCTTTGAGAATATTTCAAACGAAATGTTGGATCTATTCTTAAAAAAAAAAAAATGAGCAATCACGTTGTTGGCGGCTCAGATATTTTTACAATTTTCATTATAAAAAAATTTATATAAATTTTGATTTATTTTTCTCGATCTGTTTCCTTATCAAGATTTGGGTTTTATTTAAAGTTTTTTAAGGAGTATGTTTTTTTTATATTTTCATATTAAATCGTTACCGGCAATAATTACCGGAAATTACAAAAAATAATTTTTTGTTAATACTTTTAGTTTAGTAAAAAAAAAAAAAAAAAAGGATTTATTAAAATTAAAATTTTTGTTGGAAAAATGAAATCAAGAATTTATGTTAAAAAATATTAGCCCCGATCAACATGATGTCCCCCAAAAAGATTGGAGAAAATAGGTATTTTTTTTTTTTTTTTAAATTAATGACGATACGATTTCTTCTTCAACAATGGTGAGAAGATATTTCGGCTATAAACTAACTTCTAGTCAGTATTTAACATTTTTTAAATTTATTTTAAAATTCGTCTTCAAGTTTCTTACTTGTGATATGAGGTAGAGTAAATTAGGTGAACTTTTTAAAATCCTACATAACCGAGTAACTGCAAATCAAATATGGTTAAGGATCTGTCGAAGCCCTAAAAATTGAAAAGTGATTCTGTCTGATTAAAAATAGAAAAAAAAAACACTAGAAGAAATAAAAAAGAATGAAACATTGAAGTTCTTTTTGAAAAGAAAGATAAAACAAAGTAAAGAAAGACAAATCAAACTTTGACCAAAGCAATGAGAAATTTTAAGAGAAAAAAAAAAAAATCAATGTTAAGAACGTAAAAATTAATTAAATAATTTGTTTTGTAGTGAATATAAGCTCATAAAAATGACTGAAGTAGATTTTTGATTTTGAGCAAGAATTTTCACAATGAAATAAAACAATTTTTAAAATTAGTTTAAATAATTATTACAATTATGAATGAAACTCTACAAAGAGACGTCTGTAAATTCATGTCAAGAATATATTTTATTGTTAATTTCTTCCTAACAAATTATTTAAAAAAAAAAAAAAAAAAAAAAAAAGAGAGAATTTATGATATCAATACATATTTTTCATTATATGAAAGTTGAAAACAAAGTTAAAAAAAATAAAATTCATTGAACATTTGTCAGACCTGCACAGAAGAAACACAAAAATAAAAAATATCAAAACAAAGATGTAGAAATAAATCTACATTTAAAAAGGAGATAGAAAGAGTTTGAAAGATGCACTACAGAACCAAAAGTTTTGGTTCTTTTATTCTTTTAAGAAATACAAGATGACAATATTCAGATAATATAGAAGTTTCGGTTGTGGCTTTTTTTTTTTAACATTTTGTTCAGCAAGAATGCTGTTATAAGACGAATTGGGGGAAGCTGTTGAGTTTTACTATCAAAATTCGAGTTTTAAATTTAAAAAACAAAGAATAGTAATTCATAATAATAACACTAATAATAAAATTAAAAATTATATTAAAAGTTCCATGCCCGGATCAATATTTTTTTTTAACCAAAGGAATTCTCCCACCTTCCATTCTTTGTTTAACTTAATTATCTGATGCACACACACAAATATATATATATATATATATATATATATATATCTGTACTTACTATATTTAATTGTTCTCTTTTCCCCAGTTAAATGAAAGAGGGGGTTCGATTGTTAATTAAAGCAAGATATATGTATACGACATATAATGAAAGTTTATTTCAATCAAATGAAATAGAATGTTGCAATGTAGTTCTTAAAATGAAAATAGATCATAAAAAGAGATTAAATAAAATAATTGAAAGAAAAAGTCAAATAATAATGACAGCTCTACTTATTTATTATACCTTTTTCCCCCTTTTCAATATCGAATGATCGACAGATAAAATCGATAAGTTTTTTTTTTTATACATATCCACTTTTCTCTTTCTTCTCATTCGTATAATTTTTTTCACTCTCTTCAAACTATAAAAGAAAATGAATCAGAAATACATACACAATATGATCCTGGAATTGTTTTTGTTGATATTTGTAATTTGTTGTAAATTTTGTTCATTTTTGTTCATTATTTGTTGTTGATGTTGTTGATGCTGATGCTGCTGTTGTTGTTGTTGTTGTACTACTTTTAAGAAACTTAATTGCTGATAAAAGTTGTGATGAAAGGCAAGTCAGTTTTCATCTGACTTTTCTTAGTTCCTTTTTTTCTTCTTCCATAAATCGAAGTATATTCTGAATTCTTCCCTTTTTTTTCCTTAATTGGGTTAAAAAAAATTAAAGTAGGTCTGATGATTTGAAAAGAGGGTGAAGCAAGAATCGTTATTCTCTTTCATAAGAGTAAGTAGTAGTAGTAATAAAATAATAATAATAATTAGAATAAGTATGGTTGGTAATAAAATGCCCGCCTTCTTTCTGGTGTTTTATTACAAATCAGCAGATCAACAAGTTCCTTGTCCTAAGTTGCCATAAGAGCAAAAATATTTATACTGCAATAATTGAGGGTGAATTAAAAGTAATGTTATTGATTCAACTTTACTTTTCTCAAAGTAGTTAGAAAATAATAATAAAAAGGTAGAGAGAGAGAGAGGAAGAGAGAGAGATTATTATATTTTGTGGAAGTAGACTTAGATTATAGTAGCAAAAAAAAAAAAAAAATGATAACATTATTGTTGGAAAACACCAAAGAACACATTTAAAAAGATAAACCAAGAGTTGATTCCAAGTTTTATTGTGTTGGGTTTTGTTTTAGGGCTGAGAAAAAAAAAATCCGTCATTTCTTTACTGATCAATAATTAAAAAGACAAAAGGTATGTGTGTATGCATGGATGCGTGTATATATACAAGCAGATACGTATGTATATACACTCACACAACTAGATCCATTTCAGATACTTAAGTAAGAGAAGTAAATGACAAAATCAAATTTCTATATTTAATTTTTTTGGTGTTTTATAATTTTTTTCCTATAAATTCCCTGTAGTTTGTAGAAGTGATAGTTTCATAACATTGAAGTGGTGAACAGAATGGAAGTCATTTTTAAGATGTTTTTAGCAGGTCATAAAAGGTGATCAAAAAAAAAGTACACAAAATTTGGGATGAACAGTTTTTTTTTGTTTTTTTTTTTTCTCAATAAGATGGACAGACAAAATGGACAGACTTTAGTGGACCATGTGTTGGTGATGGCAGTAGTAGTAATAGTAATAATAAAATTAATATAACTGAATAATAAAGAAAAAAATATTCATTGGCATTATTAATGTTTCAAAAGTGTTGTTTTATCATTAGCACTGGCAGGAGAGGGTGACAAAATGAGTTTTCATACATACACAGGACAGAAGACATCAAGGTTTGATAAAAAGTAATAATAATACTCGTAAACCTTATTTTGTAATTAGACTGAGCATTAAAATACTGGAGTTATTTTTTTTTGTCTCTTAATATTTCTATCTTCAGTAATACTAAGCTAAGATACTAAGTAGTGAAACCTAACCATTTAGGGTAAAAATAATAATAAAACTTATTGCTGACTGTTTTTGTGGTTTAAAAAGTTATATAGAGAGTTTAATGTATTTAAACTAGAAAGAAATAAACTGAATTACTTTATAATTGATTTTCCTTAAATGTTTATTTTAAATACATTTAAATTGTTGTAAAACCAAAAACATTAGTCACAAAATGAGGGATCCGTTTTCAGTAATGTAAAATAGTAAACAGATCCCTCATTTTGTAACCACTTTTGTAATATTTTTACCAACTCAAACTTTTTGGATTATTTTTGTTTCTTTTAATTTAAAAAATAATTTTTTTTCTGGTTTTCTTTTTTTGAGAAAGAAAAAAAAAAAGTTGGCTATTACTACTACTACTACTCGTCAGTCCCATTTCTGGTTGGGGGGCTGTCCCTTCCTCCACGGCTCAGAGGTGAACGAGACGACCTCGATGGAGGGCTACGGGTGAAGCTCCGACTCCTGGGGGTGCGGCTTCTGCTCCGGGGACTCCGGGGGCTTCGGGGACTCCGTGGGGTGCGGCTCCGGCTTCGGGGGGTGCGGCTGCGGCTCCGGCTACTGCTTCGGCTACGAGAATAGCTTCTCCGGCCACTTCCGCCCCCACGCGACCGGCTGGACGATCCTCCACCACCTCCGGACGATGCCCCACCGCCGTGACCCCCAGAAGCAAGCCCTCCACCACTGCCGCCGCCTCCACCTCCACACGAAGATTTACGTCTCCGGCTGTAGCGATTACATTCGTAGGCGTAGTGACCCTTCTCGCCGCACTCGTAACATCGATCCTCAGGGTTGAACGGTCGGCGTGGACGAGACGGACCCCGACCGCCACCGTGCCCTCCGCCACCGCCGTGACCTCCGCGGGACCATGGTTTCGGCCTCACCTTGCCGGTTGAGTGCTCGACCCGGACTCGAACCCCGCACATCGTCTTACCATCGAGAGCGCGTACGGCGTCCTCGGCATCGCGTGGATCGTCGAATTCAACGAAAGCAAACCCGGCTGGGTTGCGCGCCACCCACACGCTCTTCAAAGGACCGTAGTAACGAAACGATCGCTCCAGTTCTTTCTCAGAAGCATCCCTGGGCAAATCGCCCACGTACACTTTACAATCAAGCATTACTGCAACACAACAAACAAAACAAGTCCGAGTAATGAAAAAATTATATCCTTTTGTTTAACACACCACAGAACATATAACCGAATATATCTTCGTCTTTTTACAGTTAAACAATATTCTTTTTTCAAATATTTATATAGTTTTACACACACATACGTACACGTAAATAAATGCGCGCGTGTGAATATATAGCTTAAATATCTAATATATACACACACTTAAGTGAGTGAACGTGTAATAATGTAAATTGTGAGATTTGTGGGGGGAAAAAAATCAAATGTCTTATCAGCAGGCTTTACTATTCTTTAAAAATCCAGTCCGGTAATTTTCCTTCCTTCATAAGCGTGTCTATAAAATCGCGTATATTCAACTTCCTTCCTTTTAATAAAAATATCCTTTTTCTCTCCTCAAGGTATCGGGAGGGAAAATCCACCGAGTATATAAATCTCTCTCTCTCTCTCTATTCCTTTTTCCTCTCTCTCTCTTATAGGCAAATACGTAGTCACCCTTTATATATATAGATATATATATACACACACACACACATGTAAGTGTTGTGGGGACTACTACTACTAAATCACTTTTGACTGCTGGCGTTTTCTTGCATCCAAAGGCTCTTTTGGTAAAACCTCATTAAATTTAGGGATATTCTTCTCCCAATGCCACTTCAAACGACAATCGCCACTCCTTTGTTAATGGCAGTTCGCAAATAAAATGGCTAGATTATTTCAGCAATCGCGGTCTTTTAGTAACTCTGAAAAATAAGCAGCAGAACAAGCCGATGATTTCAGTGACGAATTCTGTTCTTACTACACTCGTTCCCTTGCGGAAGTGTCTTTCTAACTTCCGTCCAACGTTAAGTAAACATCGATTACCTCCCCTTGACGTTTTATTATTATCATCATCAGCAGCAAATTTACATTATCTTTCACTTTCTTTATAATACCGTTATTGTTTCTTCAGAATCACCATCTTTTTAAGGGTCTGAATAATGTGATATGCATTAAATCTCATATTTTTACTGGATATTATTGGAGATCAAATGACAATCTCCTTTGAAGTTTACTAGCCATTTTCTATTCAATAGTAAAACTACTACTAAAAAAAGTAAAACAAAAAATGATGGAGGAGCTTTAGTTTTAATAAATAAATGTTGCTAATTTTATCCTTATTTTTGTACTTTAATATTGTATTTTTAATAAAAACACATTATCCTTAACTTTAAAAAAAATAAAAAAGCAGATCTTATTTTCCGTTCTGTGTTTAATCCGAATGATGTGGTTTCGGTGTGGTACAAACTATGATGAGAGAAAAAAACATGAAGAGTTCGTTCGTCCGTGGATGGCTGTGTTCGGTTTTTTTTTTATGTCAAAGTTCATGTAAGTGAAAGTCGGACACAGATTAGTTAATATTTTTAATTTTTTTCATAGACTGGAATGAAAATAGTTTATTTTGTTTTGTTTTTATTCATTTATCTTCGTTTTTAGGTAAAAAAAAAAAAAAAAAATATTCAGTCCAGTCCTCCATATTCCAAAATGTATTTTAAACCGTTTGCGTTTTCATTAAAAAGGAAAGTGATGATGCGAAAATTAATTTATTCTATTAATTTAATTATGAGCTCTTAAAATAATTAAAAAGTACATATTTCATCATTTATTGGTGATGATTCATTTAAAATATATTGTTTTTAAATGAAATTTGTAATGAAATATTTAAACTTTATTTTTAAATTGCAAAAACAATTCATTCTCTGTAAAACAACTCATAAGCGGGGCCTATATATATTTTCTTGCGATATGAGTCATTAAAATTTATTCTAATTAACTCCCTTGTATATTTTATATTTCTTTCTTTATCGTTAGAGCGCGCCGTTTACCGACTTCCGGTTTATATTTGTTTACAGCACTCATTTTCGTGGAATGTTAAGAGCTTTCTTGTCGCTTTTATTAAAAAAATATTTTCTTCGATAATTTTTTTTTCAGCGGTAAATTTATATAGATGTATTGTTGAACTATTTAACAATTATTTTTTGAATTGATTTAAAAGCTTAAAATTTTAACTATGAGTAATAAGCTTAACGTTTCAAATCTTTTTTAATTACATCCTCCTTAGTTTTTGAATTAGCCTCGTTTTCTGAACCTTCGACTGACAATTGATTGCTATGCAGACATCAAAATAAAACAATAGCTTGAAACTACGAACTCAAAATGATACAAAGATTTATAATAATAAATTTTAAATTATATAAAAATAAAGTCAGACGATTTTAATTTTGATGTAAAAAAAAAAAAAATGTCTGAACTGACGGTGTATGGTTTCGACACCTTCAAAGCAGCAAAATAAAGTTTGTGAACAGGTGTGGTCGAAAGAGATATATTTTGTTATGTACCATGCTTTTCAATTTGGAGCTATGGCTATTTAAGAAATCTGGTTTTTGGATTTCACAGGCGAATGAATGGGCTGTTTCTGGGATCTGAACTAAGAAAAACTAAACATCAATGACTACGATGAAAGGGAAGAAAGAAAAAAAGGCAGAATCAGGAAGAACTTTCTTAAAATTTAAAGAGATACAATTATCTTTCTATAGTTATTTGTGAATGTTTATCAAATATTTGACTTTGAGGTATATTAACCCATATTTTGAACTTATGAAAATTTGTTATCTCAATTTTGAATCAGAATTGATTGAATCTGTTTGTAAAACTGAACTAGTGTCTAACCAAAAAGAAAATAAGTCAGAAACGTAGCAACATCACTAAGAAATATTTCTTCTCAACTCTTTTTGACACTTGATTGAATGTAAATGAATATTTTGTTGATAATAAATTAGTCCAACAGAATTGTAAATAAAAATGTTATCTTGCCTAATTGTTTGGCACACAAAGGAAAATTTTGTATAGGGTTATTTTGTAAATTTTGTATTCTTCTTTTTTTTCTTTTTTTTTTGTTTTTTTGGCACTTAACAAATGTGCATTTCTGTCAAATTTCACACTGGAGTAAGAGTCTTTTTTTTGCAACATTCATAATATCAAGGATAAGAGGCTTGGTGTTTTCTCTTCTCCTTTTCTTCCCCAAATCCTTTTAGTATGTACAGAGAAAATATTTCTCCAGAAGTTAAAATAAGACTTTTTTCCTGGTTTTGTAAGCCTAAAATATCTTACCATGTAAATTAAAATATATATGTGCATTTCTCTTCTCAGAGATTAAATTCAGTTTTGATTTATAAAATAGTATAGTTCAATTTTATATGTTATTTTTCAGAAAAAGGATTTACAAATCCAAAGATTGAATCAAAATGAGACACAAGTTCAAAAAGAATAAAATAATAAGTGGAATCTAGAAGAGGTCAGTTAGTTATTGTGAAATATATAGATAGATAGATAATTCCATTTCAATTCAAACAAATTTTTGGAAATTCCTATGGCTACAATTTTAGATTTCTATGAAATTTTCAGTATGTTATATCCACATATGAAAATTTAAAATTATTTAAAATGGACATTTGAAAACAATAAATTGAAATAAAAATGTGTTCTTTGAAAAACAGGGCATATAAGTCATTAGAGATTTTTAAAAGGTTATTTATAAAATTAAATCAAGAAATTCATTGCTTATTAAGTATGTCTGCAGCCTGACTAGCCACGTTAATTTTCATTCTTTCTTTATTTATTTATTTATTTCTTATGAACAGTATCAACAAAATATATTTCAATCAATATTTTTAGGCATGGACTTAAAACAATTTTGGATCGAGCTGAAGTCAAGAATGAAAACAAGGCACTATGAAAGATTTTTGTTGCTTTGAAATAGATATACTTGAATGTTGACACACTTAGGCTAAGCCTAACAAGCTCGAACTCCGGTCTCAACTGATATATATATAAATATATAATAAAATAATAATAATAATAATCTACTCTTTAGTATTTCACGATATTTTAGTATAATTTTGGTAAATATATCTGTTAAAATGATATGTTAGTGTTATTTTCATTTTTGCATAATTTAAACAATTTATCATCAAAATTACACAAAAATATCTTGAAATACTAAAGTAGATTTATTCAATAAAATTGCCATTGGCTTCAATCACAGCCTCCAGAAAACTTTGAAATCTCCTGCAACTCTTCTGGACAGGCTCCTTGTTTAAGTTGGTCAATGCTACTATAATCCTTGCCTTCAGTTAATTTTTGGTATAACAAGGAGTTTTGTTGGTCTCTCTCTCAACTGAAACCCTTACCAACAAATTCTGCACCTTTTTCTTATCAGAACGATCAGAGTGAATTTTCTGAGCTGCCGCACCTTCATAATCACCATTAAACTCACCCAACTCTTTCCGAATCCTCTGCAATGTCCTCAGCTTGACACCCAAGCATGCTGAAATGTTTGTATAGGAGCTTTTGGAACAAATATCAGACAGCACAGCATGCCATTTCCAAATTTCTGGTGGAGTGAATTGCGTCATGGTGCACTTTTTCTCACAAGTGGTGCCCAACTGACCCTACTATACTGTGCAGTCAACAAAATCAAAAACAAACAATACGCTAAATGAAAAATCTAAAATGACAACAATTTATACATTGCACCCTGTATACACATTAAATATTTCTAACTAAATTTTAGTTTATTAAATTTTTAAACACATTTATATATCCAAGATTTCTAATTATATTATTGGGAAAACTTATTTACTTAACTTTACTTTTTTTTTAAATATTTTTTATTTATATATTTTTTATTTCTTCATATATTTATTTGCTTAATTTATTTGTTTATGTTGTTATTATTATTATTATATTTGTTTTTTTTTACATACATTTTTTTCATTTTATGGATAGGAATATTTGTAAATAAACTATAAAAGGTTTAACTATTTAAAGTTTATTAGTTTAAGTATATTTATTTTATACATAGATATGAACAGACTGATATAGATAGATAGACAGACTTATTGTTGGAAAGAATGAATAATTGTAAGAAAGAGGAAACACCTGTTTATT